TCACCCTCTCCGGCGCCCCTTTCCAGGGGACTTGGGCCCAGTCCGCCGCTAAGGACGCTTCTCCAGACTACAATTCAAACGGCAAAACCATTCGATTCTAAGGCTGGGCTGTTCCCATTTCACTCGCCGTTACTAAGGAAATCCTTGTAAGTTTCTTCTCCTCCGCTTATTGATATGCTTAAACTCAGCGGGTAGTCTCCCCTGACTTGGGGTCGCAATCAAAGACCCAAAACCGGCAGCTTCATAGGATCCCGACGCCATAATGAAGCCGAGCAAGGCTGGCAACTATGCACACCTGGCACATCCACCGCACACCAAGACATCAACAAAATCAAGGACAACATTTTCGGCCAACCACGCCCAAGGAAGGGCCCAGGGGGCCAGGATCTATTCCCACTCCACACACGAGAGGGGAGACATAATGCATGACAACCAAGCATACGTGCCCTCAACCGAATGGCTTGAGGCGCAACTTGCGTTCAAAGTTTCGATGGTTCGCGGGATTCTGCAATTCACACCACGTTTCGCATTTCGCTACGTTCTTCATCGATGCAAGAGCCGAGATATCCATTGCCGAGAGTCATTTTTATTAAAAGGATGCAAAGCTCACAGGCAGCATAACTAAGCTCTGCGAGGTTGCACACTCATTATTATATTCCTTGGCGCTGCTGCGCCGGTGTTTTTGTTCGTCGTGGGCAAATCAGAAAGATGGCACCCCGACATTCGAATCAATAATTGGTACAGGTTAGCAAGTCATTCTACCGCGAGGGTTCGACAATGATCCTTCCGCAGGTTCACCTACGGAAACCTTGTTACGACTTCTCCTTCCTCTAAATGATAAGGTTCAATGGACTTCTCGCAACGTCACGGGCAGAAAACCACCCACATCACCACGATCCGAACACTTCACCGGATCATTCAATCGGTAGGAGCGACGGGCGGTGTGTACAAAGGGCAGGGACGTAGTCAACGCGAGCTGATGACTCACGCTTACTAGGAATTCCTCGTTGAAGACCAACAATTGCAATGATCTATCCCCATCACGATGAAATTTCAAAGATTACCCGAACCTATCGGCCAAGGCTATACGCTCATTGAATACATCAGTGTAGCGCGCGTGCGGCCCAGAACATCTAAGGGCATCACAGACCTGTTATTGCCTCAAACTTCCGCGGCCTAAGAGGCCGTAGTCCCTCTAAGAAGCTGCCCACGAAGGGATGCCTTCGCATAGCTAGTTAGCAGGCTGAGGTCTCGTTCGTTAACGGAATTAACCAGACAAATCGCTCCACCAACTAAGAACGGCCATGCACCNTCTTCCCCGATGCTTCCTGCGTAGCTTCTCTGAGTTGCTTCTGCTCCCATGGGTTCTGGCAAAGCCCAGAGTGTTAAGAAGACTAAGAAGAAGCTCCCTAGGAGCCCAAAGAAGAAAACGACTGGAGATGATGTTATGGAGACTCCTAGTCTGAATACGGATATTGCCATGGAGCTACCTGAGAAGGAGAAGGCTCCAACTGCGTCTTCAACATCTGAGACATCCCCTCCACATGCTGAAGACGTCCCTGATATAGGTCCTCAGGTGGGGATAACCTCTGCGCAAGAGACCCCCCAGGTGTTTGACAAAATGCCTGAACCAGACTTGGTTGCTGCCAAACCTGTTACGTTTGCTGACCTCTTCAAGGGCAATAGGGATCCTGACAAAGGTATGATTCTGAAACAATATGATGTTGGTGAAGGTGTTCTCCATATCCCGGATTCTATTATTAAACCTGTTGAAGAGCTGTGGGGTTTTTGCCTTGTGGGCTGCTTTACTGGACGCTTCTTTGGCCTCAAGGCAGTGGATGCTATTGTCAAAAGCTGGAATGTACCTTTTAGAATCATTCCCCATTGTAAGGGTTGGGTTATCCTGAAGTTTGAGAATGATACTGATAGAATGGATGTGCTGGGTAGGGAAAGGGATAAAGCTTATGGGAAGGAGCTTAGACTCAAGATCCCTTCTCATGGTTTCATGTTTGATTTTGCTGAATTCACCACTCTACCTGTCTGGGTTCAGCTACACAATGTACCATTGCAGCTTTGGTCTGAGGAAGGAATTGGAATGCTGGCCTCAAAAGTGGGGAAGCCTCTGAGAACTGACCTGGTTACAAAGCAGCAAGGTAAGGGTGGTTTTTGTAGAGTGCTTGTTGAGGTTGACTTCTCAAAACAGCCTGTGACCCACTTTGAGGTAGCTTGTATGGGTAAGACTTACACACAACTTGTGGTGTTCGAGGAAGACCCTAAATACTGCTTTCATTGCAAAACCTGGAATCATTGCCCCTTCTACTGCAAAGAACTGGGTAAGAATAAGGAGATGGCAGGTTTGGAGACTACACATAAGGTGGATTTGGATAAGCCAAAGGAGACTAAAAAGCCCCATGGGAAGGCTGGAGCTAAGGACAGTGTACCTCCTGGTGAAAATCCACATGTTGAACCTGTAGGGGGTTTGATTCCTTCTTCTTCCAACAACAAGGAGAAGGCTATAGAACCCATTTCCAAAACTGGAGGCCTGGCTGTTGACAACATGGCTGGTAAGGATGTTGTTTTGCTTAAGAAGAAGAGGATTGAAGTTGGAGACATGGTTGGGAAGAGACCAGAGAAGAAGAAAGGTGGTAAGGGCAATGCCCCCCCTCCTCCATGAAGGTCCTTTGCTAGAATATTAGAGGACTTTCTAGGTCCTCTAAGCAGAAATGTTTGTGTAAATATCTTTTGGAACTTGGTGTCCATTTAGCATGCCTGTTGGAGACTAAGATCACAGGAGCCAAGTTGGAAAATTTTGTGATTACCAAACTGCCTGGGTGGAGATTTTCCACCAATTTTGATGTTTTGCCTGGCAGTCGTATGGTAATCTTGTGGAACCCTTCCTTTTTGCCTGTAATGTTGTGGGAGTGGGTGAGCAATATCTTCACTGTGCAGTCCAATGCCTTACAACACAAAAGGAGTTTGTCCTATCCTTCATTTATGGCCTGTACACTGTTACCAAGAGAAGGGAGCTGTGGCATGACTTGTCTTCCTTAGCACAGTATATTACCATACCCTGGGCTTTGCTTGGGGATTTTAACTGTGTTTTGGCTAGCAATGAGAGGGTGAACTGTATGAGCCAGGGAGCATACTATATGACTGATCTACAAGCCTTCAAGTCTTCTAACTGCTTAGAAGATGTTCCTTCTACTGGAAATTTCTTCACTTGGCATAAAGGGAACAAGCTTGCTAAACTGGATAGAGTCCTTGCTAACCAACCTGGGGAGACTTTGGTTTGGCCCCAACTTGTGAATTCTTGGATTTCAACTTCCTGTCTGACCACTGCCCCACCCTTTTCCAGTGTGGTGCACCCCTTGGCAACAGGTCCAGGCCTTTCAGATTCTTCAATATGTGGCTAAAGCATGAGAACTTTAATGGTTTGGTCTCCCAGTTTTGGGAGGCAGGTGTGGTTGGCTCTAAGCAATTCTCCTTATGTTCCAAGCTTAAACGCCTGAAACCTCCCTTAAAATCCCTTAATAAGCAGGCTTTTGGTCATATCTCTAGAAGAGCTATGGAAGCTAAAGAGGAGTATGGATTAGTGATGAAGCAGGTGGTCCTGGATCCTAATAATCAAACCCTTCTTGATGATGCTGATATTAAAAGGAAGAGAGCTAACTTCCTCCTTGATGCTGAATTGGCCTTCTTTCAACAGAAAGCCAAATGTGACTTCCTTATGAATTCTGATAGATGCACTACTTACTTCCACTCCATTGTTAAGAAGAACAGAACGAAAAACACTGTTGGGTTCTTGGTTAGAGAGGATGGATCTAAAACTACTTCTAAGAATGAGGTGGCTAGTATCTTTGTGGACTACTTCACTACTTTGTTTGGTACTACTTCTTCAGTGGAACCCATTGACCTAGAGAGTTTGACTGCTGGAACCAGAGTGCCTTCTTCTGCACAGTCCACTCTCCTTGCTTCTGTTACACCTGAGGAGGTGAGGGAGGCAGTTTTTGACATTGGAAATGACAAGGCCCCAGGCCCTGATGGCTACACTGCAGCTTTCTTTAAGGATCAGTGGGCTACTGTGGGTAGGGACATCTATGAAGCTGTGTTGGAATTCTTCACTTCAGGGAAATTATTGAAACAAATAAACCATGCTTTGATTGTTCTCATTCCTAAATCTTCCCATAACCCAACTGTTAAAGATTTTAGGCCTATTGCCTGCCTTAATGTTCTCTACAAAGTCATCACTAAGATTTTGTCTAAGCGTATGGCTCCTTTTCTCCCTGATTTGATTGATCCTGCACAAGGGGCCTTTGTCCCTGGGAGATCTCTTGTGGACAATTTCCTCCTAGCTCAACACCTTATCAGGGATTATGCTGTCAAGAGGTCTACACCTAGCTGCTTGATTAAATTGGACATCACCAAGGCCTATGATACTGTCTCTTGGAGCTTTTTGCAAGGTGTGATGCATGGTTTGGGCTTTCCCCCCAGATTTGTCTCTCTTATCATGGAATGTGTTTCCTCTGCTTCTTCATCTATTATGGTTAATGGAGACAGTCATGCCTTCTTTGCTAGTCAGCGTGGGCTTAGACAAGGGGATCCAATGGCCCCTACCCTCTTCCTCTTTTGTATTGAGTACTTCTCTAGGTTACTCAACAAAAGGGCTAAAGTAGGTGGCTTTAACTATCACAAGGATTGTGCAGCACTTGGGATTACGCACTTGGCCTTTGCTGATGATCTTATGTTGTTCTCTAGAGGGGATTCCCTTTCTGTGCAGGTTTTAATGGATGCTTTGGACCATTTTTCAAGGGTGTCTGGCCTAACCCTTAATCCTACTAAATCCAACATCTTCCTTGCTGGTAAATACAGGGATGCTAGCCAAAATATTCTGGATCTTGCCTCCTTTCCTCGTGGTCAGCTTCCTGTTAGATATCTGGGTCTCCCTTTGGCCTCTCAAAGGATCTCTGAGAGTGATTTTGCCCCTTTGTTCAAAACTGTTGATGGTTTTCTGTCTAAATGGAGCACTTTGAAGTTATCCTATGCTGGCAGACTGGAACTGATTAGAGCAGTGGTACAGGGAGTCCAATCCTTTTGGCTCCAGGCCTTTCCTGTCCAGAAATATGTGCTTGACCGTATCACCTCCATGTGTAGAGACTTCCTTTGGGGCAGCAAACTTGCCAAGGTTGCATGGGTTGATATTTGCCAGCCAAGGGAGGAAGGTGGTTTGGGTCTGAAAGACGTCAATACCTGGAATAATGCTTTGTTGTGCAAACTTCTGTGGAACTTGGCAGCTAAGAAAGACACCCTTTGGGTCAAATGGGTTCACAATGTTTACATTCAGGGTGAGAACCTGTGGCAGTGGCAGCCCAAGAAGAGACACTCTGTCTTCTTCAAAAGGCTGGCTTATGTACATGACCTTTTGGTTCAAAAGCTTGGTGATCTTCATCCTTCTATGGAAGAGGCTATGAAACCTTTTTGCTCGGCAGGTAACCTTATTCCAAGAAAGGTTTATGATTTGTTTAGGGCTAAAGCAAACCCAAAGCCTTGGATGGCTTTCATTTGGCAAAACTATATTCCTCCTAAGTGCTCCTTTACGTTGTGGCTGGCACTTAGGAGGAGGCTGCCCACCAAAACTAACTTGGAATTCCTCGGTTTGCCTATGGACTGCACCTTCTGTGGACATGGGTTGGAAGATGTGGACCACCTGTTCTTTAGCTGCCAGTTCTCTAAAGAAGTTTGGGACAATATCAAGACTTGGCTAGGTATGGAAGGACACCTGAGTACCCTCACCAGAACCATCAGATGGCTGAAGGCTTTTAGGCGAGGGGATGGGATCCTCAAGAAGGCGAGAAG